CTTCAACACTTTAAAAAGGTCTTGTGCAGCAGATTTGCCTAATGCAATATGTCGTTTGACCTCTTGACTGCTGTTTCCATAAGTGTTGATGGTTGATCCAAGAACTATGAGGTCTTTGACAACTTCAATCTTTTCTCCATTGATAAGAATGCTGTTTATTGATCCAGTGGTGAGGAATTTTGTTTTCTTGACATTAAGGTGCAACCCATACTGAAGGCTATGGTCTTTGAGCTTTATCAGTAAGTAGTTTAAGTCTTCTTCACTTTCAGCAAGCAAGGATGTACTATCTGCATATTGAAGGTTGTTAATGTGTTTTCCTCTAATCCTGATGCCACGTTTTTCTTCATATAAACCAGCTTCTTGGAATATTTGCTCAGAATACAGGTATATGCTGTTATACTCTTACACACTGTTACTGCAAAACAGTATGGCCACTATGGAAAACAGTATGACACTTCCTGAAAAAGCTAGAAATAGAAATATCATACAACCCAGCAGTCTTACTCCTAGGTACATGTGAGCTGTAACTTGAATAGACATAGGCACACCTATGTTTGTTGTTGTTGTTATTAAGTGCCATCAAGTCAGTTCTGACTCATAGTGACCCTATATAAGATTTCCGGGGAACAGCTGGTAGGTTTGAATTATCAACCTTATGATTTGTAGTCCAGTGCTGATCCTACAGCCCCACACCAGGATTCACAATAGCAAAAAGATGGAAGATGGAAACAGCCTAAATATTTACCAGCAGATGAATGGATAAATAATCTGTGTAGTACTTGCATACAATGGAATACTACACAATGATAAAGCCTAATGATGAATCCACAAAACATCTCATAGCATGAATGAATCTGGAACACATTATGCAGACAGAAATAAGTCAATCATAAAAAGACAAATATTGTTTGAGACCACTTATATATATATTTTTAAAAATCAAGAATAGGTTTACACACAGAAAGAAACATCCTTTGTTGGTTACCAGGGATGGGAGGAGAAGGGATAGAGAATAACTAACTAAATAGTTCACAAGAAGGAAAATGTTATACACAATATGGAGGAAGTCAACACAATGAATAAGGTAGAGGAAAACACTAAGAATTCTGTAAGCATAAAGGGTAACTTTATGCTTATTTTCTGGGGTGGCACTGTAGGATAAGTGCAGAACTGCTAACCACAAGGATGTCAGATCAAAGCCACTCTTTGGAAGCCTATACCAGGTTGTTACAAGTTGGAACCAATTCAATGACACTAAATGACAACAATGGTAAGTGTAATGTATATAATATTGCAGGAACAGTAATAACAATTAATAATTTGTGAGTGGATACATAGGTCAATATCTAAGCTAAATATACAGAATACATGTATATACAACATATGGTGGTGGTGTTGGTGTGTGGTGGAGTCAGTTTCGACTCATAGCAACACTGTATAGGGTTTCCAAGGCTGTAAATCTTTACGGGAGCAAAAAGCCTCATCTTTCTCCCGTGGAACTGTTCTGAACCTCTGACTGTGAGGTTAGCAGCCCAACTCGTAACCACTATGCTGTGTTATTGTTGTTGTTGTTGTTAAGTGCCGCTGAGTAGGTTCTAACTCATAGTGACACTATACAGAGTTTCCGAGATGAGGCTGGTGAGTTCTAACTGCCAACATTGCAGTTCAAACCCACCTTTCAGTCCAGTGCTTATCCTACAGTGTCACACCAGGACTCCTATATAAATATGTTGTTGTTGTTGTTGTTAAGTGTTGTTGAGACGACTGCAACCATAGAGACCTGTATAGGGTTTCCAAGAAGCAGATGGTGGCTATATACATATTTGTAATTGCTGCATGTGTACGCATATATAACAAAGAGAGGTGACCCAATGGAATGCAGAAATCATCCGACACTATCTTTATTATCTCATGTGACTAAAGTTTTACTAAAGGTAATACAGAAATGGCTGCAATCATACATTGACAGAGAATTTCCACAGGTTCAAGTTGGATTTAGAAGAGGCCATGGAATGAGGGATTTATTTGCTGATGTCTGATGGATCTTGGCTGAAAGCAGAGGATATCAGAAAGATGTT